TAATTTCAATTTGAATATTAACAACAAAATTATATATAATTTAAATATTTCTCTCTCTCTCTCTCTCTCTCTCTCTCTCTCTGTCTCTCTAATCTYTTATACACTATCTATAGGGTTATCAAAACAAAAATGTATTTTTTAACAATACTTTTCCTCTTTGCTATGAAAAATCTGATAATAAAAATTTATTTTCATTATTATTATCATTATTATCAGTCATTTATTTAGAAAATGCATGAATTCATCATATTTTTTATTGCTATTTGTTTATTACATTTCAAATTCATATTATAAATTAAATTTGTTTTATTTTATTTTTTAAATGAATCTTTAATTTTGTTATTTTCATTTGTATTATTAAATATGTTTGTTATATTTGTTATATAATAATATGTTTTTTGTTAAATACATTTTCAATTTTTACTTATACAGGTATATACTTTATATATATATATTTTTAATTTCCACAAACAATACAATTATTTTTTTTAAATTACAATTTTTTTAACAACAAATATATTTAATTTACTTTATTATTATATACACAGTAATAGAAAATAACTATTTTATATTAATTCAAATAAATAAATCAAATTATTATTATTTTTGATTAAATAACTTAGTATACTATTTGCTATACTATATAATATTATTGAATTAATTAAAAAATATATATATATAATGAAAATTAAATACTTAAAAATACAATTTATAAATTAACTATAATTATAATTAATTTGCTAATTTATAATATGAATGTAAAAACTTAATTTGAAATAGTTTATTTTAAAATTAAAACATTTTGTATTTAATAGTAATTATAAATTATATCTCTATATATATACTGTGTATATATATAATTAAAAATAATTAACATTTATATAATTTTCAAGATATTAGCTGTAATTATAATTATTACTAAATAAGAAAAAAATTATATTACAGTAGCATTAAAATTGAAAATACAGTTTAGTTTTATAATAATAAAACTTTTATATGTTTGAAAATTAACTGTTTTATTATTATTATACATAAAAATTTGTTTTTTTTTCACTCAACAGTACTGTATATTTAATATAATATATATATATATATATATAAAGTTTAGTTTAAAAATAATAAAATAAATTTATAGTAGAAACTGAACTTTTGAACCAAAATTTAATCTCAAAAAACTTTTTAAACAATTTTTAATGACTCATTAATTTAGTGATTTAGCTTAAAACCAAAAAAATAAAAATAAAATACAAATAAAATACAAATAAACTAATAATAAA